ATTTGCACCTGGCCCGCCTATGTTGCACTCTGGAAGGTGCGTGTTCTTTKAAAGTTAAGGGCCTTTTATGTCATCTGTTCTTACCTTTTCTTCATCTCCCCACTTTAGACTTATCTAAAATTACCGTTTTATGCATGCTGCTATTCTATCGCTATTTGGCATCATTAACAACTGAACCGTGGGACTTCCTTACATGCTTTATTATACCCAAGGAAATCGTTTGGGGTTCAATCCTTTTCACTATCCAAATCCATTTGTGTATTCTTTGGCTTTGATTTCGAGCCCCCTGTTCCTAACCCATACTAGTTTGAGAAATTCAATAAGTTAGCCGACGACATAAGCCTTATATCCCAATCAACTTAATTTGAAGAAGTTCCATCGAAAGATTCTTCTTAAAGTTGAGAATTTTATACAATCAAATAAGAACATTAAAATTAAGGGCCAACCCAATCAAAAGACTTGTACAACCCAAGTGTTTCATTTAGAACTAAACTTAAGTGTGAATTTGTCTGTTTGAAAGTGTTGAAGTTAGTCTTCAATGTGGGAGTCTTGTCCCAACTTGGAAGAGAAGTTAAAGATTTAAATCATCTTATAAATCCTGATCTCTTTCTTGAATTTCTTGAATCAAATGAGTTACTAATGGGTTAGTGTGGGCTGGGATTGCTGGTTGGATTGGGCTAGCTATGCTATAGCACTTAGCACTTGGACAAGTGTGGGATTGGATTGGTTTATAGATGCTAAAGTTTTATGATCAAAAGATAGCAGTTAGCACTTGGACGAATGTGGGCTTGGATTGCTTGTTGGATTGAGCTATGTATGCTAAATGTTTATGATCAAAAGGTTGTTGATCTACGGGCGACTGTCCCTTGAAGAAACTCTCGGTTGCCATCGTTTTGAAGCAACAAACACACACAAATGAAAGATGCAAGAAGTCTACAAGGATGTATTCTAGAAATGATCTTTATTAAAGTATAGATACACACATACAAATGTTTGACAGCCAATACATTTTTTTTTGACAGCCAATACATACATAGATTATGAAACGGTGCATTTGAACCATTGTGATGGTTCAAAATTAACTACCAAATCAGTTTAGGTAACTGCCATTCAACCTATGATGTGTCACTAGACACATATTATTAAAGGTATTAATTAGTAATATATTCTAATAAAATGTAAATGACAATTAAATTCCAACAAAGGTTAGCACTTGGATGAATGTGGGCTTGGCTAGTGTCGGACTGAACATGTCATTACACAGGTAATAAATCTTACTTTTTTGGGTGAAGGAAAAGAAGTGATCCAAGTGACATAGTTTGAATGCGAGATTAATAAGTTCACTAGGCTTTAAACAAGTATCGGCCACGTATTTCTAATGTTTCAATTAGTATCGCTCCAAGAAAACCAACACTAGATGTAGGGAATAATAAGAGTTCAAGATTCAATCATGTAGTTAAAATTAGGGAAATGTGTATTGGTGAATAACCTATCACAGGTTTCTTATACATTTATAAATATGTTTTATAAATTATTTATTTTCAGAAGACAATTATTTATAAATATGTCAAAAAGACAATTTTCCTAACTATCAAAACGTGTCAACCCAAGACTATAAATAGCAACTAAAAAAACCGTTTACCTAAATACTTACCCGGTAAGCACTTACCGTCATAAGTCAATCCTATAATTTATTTTACTGGTTAAGATTATAGTACATTAAAATGGTAGAGTATGTA